TTTAGTTCCCTTTAGACTCTCATGATCTGATGTTAATAGGATTAAGCATAGAAAAATTATGTTTAATTCTGAGTAAATTAAATAAAATTGAGATTCCACTGCAGTAAGAGAGACAATATTGAGTAAAGTCAGAATGATTCTGAAGTGGAAAAGACCAAGTACAGCCAACCTCAAATCACTACTGTGGCTGTGATACCATGATGCTAAGAATAAGTATAATAATTTTCTCCTATTTCAAAAAAACCAAAAAGATTCTTCAAGGATTCCAAGTATTCTTCATTGAACCAGAGCATTTCCTATTTATTTTTATTTTAACTTAGGCTATGTGCCAACAACATGCCTTCACAAAATGGGCCACTAAACTATTTTTTAATGTAGCTTGCATAAAACAATATTTAACACAAAATACATATTTTTGTTGTTTTAAGAATGAAAAGGAAATAATAGAAAGGAAAAGTAACATGCCTTACTGTGTTCTCGGATATTGTTGCCTAATGTATATGCTCTAAAGCATCTGCTGTTCAATTTCTGAGTGGGTTTAACATATAAAAATGTAAGGAATTAAATCCGTCTTCTACACACAGCCCTCCTGGGAAATTTCCCATGAGAAATAAATAGCATTTGATTGCTGTCTGCTTCCTATGTTATACTGTCTTCTTCGCATTATTAAATGGATCCTGGCTCTAAGATTGCCATAAAACAATTATTATGTCAGTGGTTCAGAAAATTTTCAGAAAAAAAGAAGACGAAATAGCATTTAAAAATGTTATTGTTGAAGCTGAAAAACATCTCATAAAATACGCATGTAGTAGCATCTGTTTCACTTTCAATATTTAGATGGCTTCTGAACGATCATATTAAATCTTCAGAAGACTTGTGAGATAGCGGTTTAGGCTGAAATCGCTTAAAGGAATGTGCACTCTTGTCCACATTTCAGCTGTTTCGTCATCTCTGTCATAGCACTTAACCTCTTTGAACATTTTCTCCTCATCTGTGAGGCAAAGAAAAAGACATATGTTAAATTCCAGACGGGAAAGGGTATGAAAGTTTTTTTCTAGACTGTTCTTTGTTAAGGTGAAGATTCTCTTCACTATTGGGGGAATCTGAGTGCTCTGGACACAAAAGCAATTTGTTATTCCGTAGAGAATGCAGGAAAGCAGCTCTGGGTTCCACAGCAGCTCACAGGTTCTTATACTACACTTCTTTGGCTCTAATCCACAGCACAGATTTTCGTAAAAAGAGCCAACCACATCAGAGGGAGACACAAGCTGCTATGGTGCTCTTTTTCATTTGTTCCCATGATGTCCAACCTATCCAAACTGGATGCTATCTCATTGAGTCTATTAACATAGCACTAATGAGTAAATGGTCCTTAGCCAAAGAGTACTGTTGCTCAGTACTGGTGATTCTAAGTATCACTCCAATTTTTTCCCTGCGATGGTTTCCCTCTTTTGTCACAGCTTCCATTTTGGGGTGTTGTGTACTGACACCAGATCAGGCTCTCCAAAATACATCCAGTCAAAACATTTGGAACAATTAAGATTATTTTGGATCTGATCTGCATTTACTGGTTTATCTTAAATGGTTTACGTGTACCAAACCTTTCTGGGACTCAAAAAAATAAAGCAGGAGAAAAAGAAAAGGGAAAATTGCCCACACAAATAATGTGACATTTCTCTTATCATTTATCAGATATTAGGTCTTCTCCCTTAGGGATTTCTTCTTCAGTCAAGCATTTTAAGTAATCCCTTTGAAGATAGCCTGTGTTAGTGCATTTCAGCTGGGAAGGAGCTGTTATCCCATTAAAGTCTACAGATATCTGTAAGATTTATAAAGTTTCCAGAGTATCATACTTCTATAAATGTGCCTGTGTGCATAATTTAGACAATTTTAATCTGCAAATGGAAATATCACTTCAAAATCTTTCTTTCAACCTGTTCGTAAACTTCTGAGAGACACTTCCTTTTCAACTTAGTTTTTAATAGTAAATTTTCTTTCAAAGTAAGCATTAAATAAGTATTTTCCAGTCTTATTTTCGCTTTTGTTATTGATGTTACCACAATAATAAATGTTAGTATTCTTTCTTCACTGGAGCTGAGCCTACTTTCTGTGTCTGCCTGAGCCTATGATTCATGCCTGTTTCTGGTTAAAAAGCATGTTACACATGGTCTGTAATGTGTGTAATGTCTGTAATGGATCCATTCCCTGACAGCCCTCAGAGTTCCAGAATGACTCAGCAAGCTGTGATGATCCCAACTACCTTTGAAATACTAATATCAAGTCAATCCCTAAAGGTATGCCATTTTGCAGTTAGCTCAGCATCACACTACAGTACCATGACATGCTAGAAACAGAGTGTGCAGCTAGGTCACACAGTAATCCAGGATTATTCTGGTAAAAGGTGAGTCAGGGAATGAGCTACCTCCCAAAGCTTGGATTAGCCTAATGCTTCTGATGTTCCTGTCAGGTGGAGAAAAAATGGTGTTTGTTGACCCTGTTCATACTATTGGAGAAGATATGGGCTCATCAACTATTGTTTGTGAACCATTCCACAGTCAGAGATTGCTTGTTCTTTCCTACGTAACTTCTTAGATCCATTCAGGTGGGAACCAGGAGAGGATACAAAACATATTTATCATGCTGTGTGGGTAGTTGTGCTGAGATTACCTGCATGCAAACAGCAGGTCCTGGGATATGCAATATCAAAAACAGAAAGGGAGAAACAGCCGAGGATAACAGTTTTGACAATCTACTCTTAAACACCTGTAACAAATGTTTCAGATTCCTGAAGCACCCACAAAAGGTAATCCAGATAATCCAGAATAACTGTGTGCTGCATTTAAACCTCTCTAGGGGTGTGTTGGTGATGGACATGCAACACACAGATATGTTTGAAAAAATATCCCTATACAAGAAATGAAATGCCAAAGTTGGAGTTTCTGGAATGAGATATTTAAATTTCAATGTCATGTCCTGTGTCTGTTAGGGGAACCGCTGCTACCCACCCTAATTAAGATTTAATTTTACCTTCTCCTTGATTACACACACAGACAACACACACACACACATCACACTTCTTGAAGTTTATTTTCTTACTTCAGAACAGTCTGCAGGACAGGAAGACCATTTAGGTTCATCCTTCCAAATGCACATGAGGTTTTCAGGATTACTACAGCGTGCCAATATATAATAAGCATGTACTGTGTTCTTGCTTATCACTTCACTCAGATAGTACTATTTTAACCTTTACAGCTACAAATCCGCTCTTTCTGGCAAGGCTGGTTAATGTAGGAAAAAACTATTCTGTAATTGCCACACATGAAGAATTTCAAAGTTCCTTCCATTTTGCAGTTACAGAAGAGCTTCTTCCTTCAGAACAAGTACATTTTAAACCTATTTCTTCATTATCAAACTATCAGTTTATCAAATAAAAGTTCTCAGTACAAAATTGATGGGGAAAAATTTCTGATGTTCATTTTGAAAATTGCTTCTGTATTCTGTTATAGACACTTCATTGGCTGAAGAAATTTAAATTCCAAAGACTTCTTTATTATTAAAAAGAAGGAAGGGGGTGTTTTTGTTTGCTTATTATTTGTTTGTTTTATGTAAGTTACTTCAGTGGGCTTTAGCATTCTGTACAGGGCAGGTCTTTTGTAACAATTTCATAAGAGAAGATCCAGTACTGCAGTCTTTCTCCTCTGAGCTCAGTGGGAGAGAGGCTCCCTCCTGTGGAACGTGAGGTGTCTGTAACTTTTCACAGACCTACTAAAAAGCAAAAGCTGCAGAAGGAAAATATCCTTTATTTAGTCACAAATTAGTAGCTTTTTTTTTTTTTTTTTTTTTTCTTTTTTTTTTTTTTTTTTTTGAGGTAATCAGGGAAGTAGGATAGTTAGGTAAAAGGACGTTATTTTCAATGTCTTTGAGATTAGAGAATCTGGACGCTAAACTCCAGTGAAATCTCAGCAGAATAGGTTATTAAACCTATTTCTATACAACATTTTTATCTGAAAAAAAAAATGGGTACAGAAATCTTACTGAACATTGTGGTTTTCAAATTTTCTAAGAGAAAGTGAAATAGATTTGAAGGCACTCACAAAACAGCAGTCTGAAGCAGGCATTTCCAATTTACAATGTTTCCCTTTGAAGATGGTACCGTTCAGCAACTGTGAAACCAAATAACTCAGGAAGAAAATGTCAGCAAGCTCCTCTGATAGCATCTTGTCTTTGTTCCTCCTTCTTATTAAAAATAAATATATAAAAAAGTTTTGCACATCTCCACAAATGAGCAAAAAAAATTTCTTATCATTAAAAAGAAATTAGTTCAATTTTTTCCTGTTTTTTTTTTTTCTCAGGGAAAAGGATATGAACCATTTAGTTAAAAGTCGTAGTTCATAGGTATATATCTAAAGCATTATATTAAATGTTGTTTAACTTCTTATCAAAATTCCGTAGATCAAAAAGCAAATCCAATGTACCATCAGGTTTTTCTCCATTTATGTCCACGTGCTTTAGAAATGCTTGAATTCTTACTTAAGTAGGCTATTCATCAAAGAAAAGAAAATGATGTTGATCTAATACCATTTTAAAAATGTTAACCACTTCTGTGTTTTTAATTACTTTTTGCTTCTAGGTCCTTTTTAATGAATGGTATATATATAAAATATTGCTGCTCCATTTCCAATGCTCCATTTCTTGCTGTGCATTACATTTTTAAGAGCCTGGTGTGTTCTGGTTGTATAAGATAATCAGAAAATTCAATCAAGGAGAAATATTTGTCTGAGTTTTTGATTAGTCTCTTGTTAGATTATTTTAACTTGCATTGCAACATTACCTAGAGATTAAAATATACAAATCCAAACAAACAAACAACATGGTGCATCCATTATATTGTTTCATTTTTTAATGACCTATTTCATCTTACATGAGCAAATTGCTGTGCAATTTACTCCTATATCCTAGAGATGTAAGAGCTATTGCAAGGATGAGAAGCAAAACAGTCCTTTGTTTTTGCACGCATATTTATTAGACTTGAAGGAATATATTTTATAAATAATTATAGACAATGGGTATTTCAGTTGCAGAGCTCTCATAAAGTACTAGTTTACCAATTTGAAATTAACATACTGTGCTGGATCTTGCTTTTGAAATTTGAACATTTGCTTCCATTCTCTGGCCAAATACGGTCACTGAATATGTTGGTTTTATTCATTTATCATTGGTTTATAACACTATTGCAGATAACAACTGGTAACTTCTGGTATCAGTGGCTTATGTCCCACTAATTTCATTGCTGGTGTACAGTAGTCAAATGACAATTCGTTCTTTAAATTATTATATTATCTCTTAACTAAGTATTCATACTCTACATTCTGCCTATTAACTGGAGTCAGTGGAAAATATATAAAGAGAGACTGGCAGCCTGAATTCTGCTCTTCCCCTGAGTGTTTCTGTGCTGCGAGACCCTGACAAATGCCCTGTTTCTCAAATAAACAGATATTTCTATGTGTATCCAGCATAAGCCAATGGTGCACACATAAGTCTATACCACTTAATACTATTCAGAGGAAGGACATTAACATGGACATTAACATGGGCTGTGTGTACATTTACAAGACAGCTAGCTCCTCAGCTTAAATTTCATCTTGCCATGATGAAGTGACAAATAATCTCCCTCCTGACCAAAATGGCTCTCAGAAGTCTCAGTGATTATACACAACACTAGTAATTTCATTTTTGAAACTATCTAAGAAGGAATATGAGCATCCACATATTAAAATGCAATATGACAAAATCAGATGCAGATATAAAATTAGTGCTCAAGTAAATACCTATTAAGAGCAAATCTTATTGCAAGTATAATTACTCCTCTTGTAGTTAATTTTAATTAGGTAGGAAGCAAATAGGTAGATCAGTTTAGTAAACAAATGTTAATAAAGTTAATAAAGAATGACCTTGTTCCCTAATTATGTTAACACTTTCTTTTCTGTTATTAGGTACTTACTTTCATCTATTTTATCTTAAAATGCATATATTTAATTAAGTCTTGCAAGAATAAGACATATATTTGTGACATATATGTTTGTGACATATAATTTGTGCTGCAGACATAACTTTTTTCTATTTTAATTACTATATGCATTTGTCTATGTCTTGAACAGGTGGGTCAGAAAATAAATTGCAGGCAAATTAGATCTCAAGATTAGACAATATTACTTCAGTTACAATTTTCAGTTTGATTTAATCATTCAGATACCTGGACTATCAGAATAACAGACTCAGAGAATCACTAACATTCATCCAATACCCAGCTCAGAGCAAGATCACCTACAGCAGGCTACTCAGGCCCATATCCTGTTGTGTTTTGCCTGTCTCCAAGGAGAGGAGATCAGCAGCCACACTGAGCTACTTATTCCAGTTCTTGGTCAATCTCAAAGCATTCCTTCACTAGACCTGACTAACAGCCTAGCTGCCTTCTTTACTCACTCCATCAAGCATTCACACTCATAATCAAGATGACTTCCCCAAGCCTTCTTTTTTCTAAAATTAATAATTCCAGCTTTCTTAGGCTTCTCACATGCTTCAGATCCACAACCACCTTTGTAGTCCTTAGCTCCACTTTCCCATGTCCCTCTTGTACCAGAGGATCCAAAGCTGCATACAGTCACTATCTCACCACTGCTGAACAGAGGTGAAGGATCACTTCCCTCAATCTGTTGGCAATGCTATTCCTACAGCATTCCAGAAGGCCATTGGCTTTTGCACCAAGAAGACATTGCTGCATCATGATCGATTTGCTCACCAAAGCCTTGAGGTCTTTTGCTGCAAATTTGTTTTCCAGTAGCTCAGCCCCAGACTGGACTGGGGCATGGACATTTTCCTACCCAGGAGCAGGACTTTGTACTTATTTTTGTTGAACCTTGTTAGATGCCCATTTGCCCATTTCTCCAGCATGTCAATGTTCACTTGAATGGCAATACAATCACCTAGTATATCCGCAAGCATACCAATTTTGGATCATCTGCAAATTTCTTGAGAGTGCACTGTGCTTCATTGTTTAGATCTCTAAAGACTGTGTCAAGCAGCTTTGGTCCCACTATTGGCAGATGAAATACATAACTTTGGACTGACTTCAAGATGGTCTCTGTTCTGATGATCAGCTCCTTTAGTTCAACAGCTCAACCAGTTTTGATTTTGCTTCCATGTCCACTTGTCTGGTCTGTGTTTCATCAGTTTGTCTATGAGCATGTTATGGAACAAAGTGTAGAAATACTTGTTAAAGCCAAAATAAATAATACCAAATGCTCTCTTCTTCTCCCCCAGGTTTTATCATACAAGGATATTAGGTTGTTCAGGCATCATTTTCCCTTCATAAACCATGCTGACTACTCTCTGTACAGCTTCTTGTCCTTTATATGTTTGGAAATTATTTCTAGGAGGATTTGCTCCATCAAATTCCCAGGGACTGAGGTGAGGCTGACCATCTTGTAGTGCTCTCGATCCTCCTTCTTGTCCTTCATGAAGGGTGACATTTTCCTTCTATACAGTCTGCTTTGACCACAATAATCTTTTGAAGACAGTAGAGAGGAATCTTGTGATTACATGAGTTATCTCTCCCAGCACTCATGGGTGCACACAAAGTCCCATGGATTTACAAATTTTCAGTCTGTTTAAAAATGGTCATTAACTTGATCTTCCTCTACAGAGCATACATCTTCCTTTCACTAACCCTTCCCACTATTCTCTAGAACTTTCAGTATCTGAAGGTAAATACCCACAGTATTTTTCAATGCATGTTTTGAAGCAAAATAGATAGAAAAAAAAAAAACGTGCTCAACACGTGGTAGATGCCAAACTGGTATTTTCTACTCCTTGCTACCCAGCTGCAAAGGACATCAAAATTAAGTTCATTCTAGTTGCACTTGGCAAAATTCATGGTGCTAATGGATTCTGCCCATCGTGGTCACTTCCTCGTGCCACAGGATAGATCTCAACCTGTTACTTAAGCAAAGTGTGCACTACCTTGCTACATTTCTGTCTCATTTGAGCTCTGGCACTAATGTAAAACCTCCTCAGTTCTGGGCACACCTGGATGGTCACACATGCATGTGGCATGTCCCCTCCAACGCCTGTACTTACAAACACCCATGAAAGTGGAAGTCTTCTAGACTTATTGTTCTGTGAGCATCTTCCACAGTAGGATGAACTCATCTGTGGGTTTTCTTTCTGTTGAGGATAGAAAAAGTTATTTATGCACATCACAAACCAACAAATGTGTGTATGGTAAGGACACCCTACTTTCAAAATTCCGCGCTGGAGGAGTGTGGTGCAATGGTGATCAACCCTGGAATCCTTTCTTCCTTACTCGCTGCTTTATGTTGGTTCGCATCTGTTTGAGGGAGTGGATTATTACCAGTTCTCTAGCAGCTGGTCACTCTTGGATAATAAAATCTGAAGTGAAATGAGAAGTAATAAATAGTTCAGAAATATGTCAAAAGAGTATATTAATTATTACTTGACATTAAAGTAAGATCTGATGAAATGAAGGTAAAAACATTTGATCTGTTCCTTCTTTGCTTACAAAGTTGTGCTGGGCCTCTTTGCAAGAAGTACTTCTCATCTCTAGGAAAGTATGTTTGTCTCTTTCCTTACTCAGTGTTGGATGAGGATGCCTACCTTCGGTAAAATGTATCACTTCTGGTCTTACCTAATATTTTAAGGAATAACAAAGTTGGATTCGTTTTATCATTGAAGTTTTATATTTTGCAGTTTTCTAACTACTCATCACAGTGATACAACTAGTTGCTTTTAAGATCAGTACCCCGGTTTTATTGCAGAAATTGTGTGTCAGACAGAACAGAAGTATGAGATAGTCCATCACTACAGCTTCATCATCTGCTTTGACCAAGGTTTGGAAATTTTGGTTCCAAAGAAAAGAATATAAATAAAACTACAATGGTCCACTGCCTTATATATATATATATATATATTTCTGTTGAGGCTGAAAATAAAGGTCATTTACAATGATTTGTGAAAATTACCCTGATCTGTTAAAAACTGGACTGATGGCCTCGTCTTATCTCACACAGACAGCCTAATACAACAGAAAAATAAATTCTTGTTTGTGTGAGGTCAGAACTGGGATTTGAACATGTATTATAAATTCCTCAAATTGGCAGCTCTAGACAGTTTTGATTTCCCTTTTCTCTTGCTCCTTGAAAATCACCACAGCTTAGAGGACACGTTAATGAATAGTTCTCCATTTCTCAGCATCTGTAAAAAACATGAAATGCCTTTCCTCAGCCTTGGCCATCACTTTGATTTGCCTGACATAAGATGTAGTTTCTGCAGTATCCTTTTCTGGAAGCCTACGATAGAGGAGCTGTGACTGACTTTTGAACATTAATGCCTCTATCCTCTTTTACAACTATCTTTTCCCATCATACTTTGAAAAGTGCATGGAAATATTTAACAGAGGCCCCCAGACCTTTCATCGAAAAAGAATGAAAAAAGGTTGTAAAGAGACATCACTACTCACGACCGTATGTCACTTCTTCCAGAACATTTTTGTGCTGTTTTCATTATACGCACAAGTACTCACCTGAGAAGCTTGGCTTTACTTTGAAATGTTTTCTTTTTTCCTTCTATACGACAGATGTTGAATTATGGTTTTCACATGAAGATTTGCAAGTTTAATGGCATCAGTGTTCCACCTAGCAATCTTAGCAATCCATCATATCTCTCTCCCAGCAGGTTCCTCCAGGATCCTTCATTGAGATCCATTTAATTTCCATTATTTACTTTTTAGCTACAGTTTTGCTGATGATCATAGCAGTACAAGACAAAGTTACAGGCAATTGAGATTTTCCATTAGCATGATTTTTGATTGCATGCTTCACTTTTTGTCCTTGATTATTAATGACATAATTCTCAATGCAATTCAAAGTTATAACTAGTCAATATATGAATTTATATAGCTTGCACATCCCACATAATACTTGTACAATGCCTTGCTATTTGATTTATGCTATTTATATTCAGATTTTTGTTTGGTCAGGCTAAGACTGTACAAACACCATGTATGTCTTACATGACTTTCTTGACTCAGAATCTTTGAATTTGTAACTTTGTTCTTTCCACATACTCTTTTCAATTTAATCTATGAGCTCTGATTTACCTTCAGTGCCAATGACTTTTATGCCCAATACTAATCCCTAAAGGACCTTTCAGTGACCTTAACAATCTCAGGTCCTCTTTTCTCTGACAGAGAAGTGTTAAGGAAATGAGGAGGGCTGAAATACAGTGAGCAGTGCCACTAGTTCTGGCACTGTGCACTCTTGCCAAGTTTCAGCTATTAGTCTTCATAAGAGTTAGAAAAAAAAATACCTGATGCTGATAAGCATGTGTGTTCACTCAACCAAGCCATCTCCTCCTTCTGTCCCTCTGCAATTCCATCCAGATCACCTCTTTCCTTTTCAGCAGAGCCATCTATTCCAGCCATAGCACTTTTCTTGTGCCTTTTCCACTCAGCATGACCAATCCTCTGTTACTTCTTTTCCTTCAGCAGATGACAAATGCACAGTTAATTAACACTAACATATGTGCCCAACAAGCCATTCCTCAGTCTCAGTCATTCTCCTGCTCCCACTGGAGTTGCAATTTCTGCCAGGCTTCCTCGTAAAATCTCCAAAATCTCTGCATCCCATCCTTGTGATTTAATACAGACCTGCACTATAAAGATTCTTGTGATCCATATTGTACACACAAAGCAGATAATTAGATGCTGAACAGCCTGCAAGAACTTGCTTTTATTGATTGCTTTTTGGGGAAATTCAGGGGAATACCATCCTGTGGTAGAATCTGTACAGACTGGAGAGGAATACAATCTGATATAGACTAGCAAGCCAACCACTCCCAGAAAAATTCCATGCTTCATCAAAACCCAAAAGAGTGAGGAAAATCACCTTACACAGGCACAGTGAGGTGATACAGGAAGAACAGAGAGCAGCAGAACAAAAGGCCAAATCACAGTAGAAAGAACTGAGTGCACAACAATGTTTATAAATTTGAATCCTCTGTACAGTAGCTTAGCCTGGCTCTCCTTAAGTGTACTTGACAATAATGAAGCAGTTCCTCTGATTTCATGGGCTATGACTCCATTTTGACTTCAGTGACTCCTAATCTAAAGTGATTTAAAGAATGAAGGAAGGTTGACCCTCTTAAGCTTTCTCAAGCTTACTTTAGCCTCCCTTCAACATCTTATACAAGCAGTTACTTGATAATAATGATGTTGATGCATACCCTTGATCCTCTTCAGTGTCTAGTGCTTGCAAGCAATAGAATACTTTTTGTACAATTATTCGAATTGGGTTTTGCCATATTTTGAAGCAAAAAACCTTTCCTCTTGGTCAAAGTTAAAGTTCACACTTTCCAATGCCTCATTTTGTTTAACATGCAAGAAATATCTTCATTTAAGCTATTCCTTATCCCTGCTACTTCAATTTAAAGCAATAACAACAACAACAAAAGAGATGACATTGCTGCTGAAAATCATGCAAAAATCTTCTCACCTTCAGTGACACTTAGATCACACTACCCAGTCATTACTTAAAACCCATCATTTTTTATCCTTGCTTCTGAACAACTGTGCTTGTGTAAAAATCCCCTTCTAGATCTGTAAGCTCTTGAATCATAATAACTCAGTATAACTGCGTGGGTTTTTTTCACTTCCATGTCATACTGATAGGATATTGCAATCTTCTTTTCTATGTGGGCCTCAACTTGTAAGTGTATCAAGAGGTGAATCTTCAATTCCTTATGAAAATCGTGTACATTTGAGTTGAGTCTCATATAGTGGATATGAAAGAGGAAACTGCATTAGTACTCCAATTGCCTCTCCAGTACATAATGTGATAGCTTCAACCTACCCTTTATTCTTTCTTGCATAAAATAATTTTTAAAAAGTCTTACAGGCTTGTGTGACCAAGTGGAACATATCATTTTTCTTTATTCTCTGTCTCACTCAAAAAAACATAAAGATTGATATATGAAAATAAAATATCCCGAATTTTAATTGGACATTTTATGATATATCAACACATTTATGCTTTCAGAAACTTATTTTAAATTTTCAGATTTATGTTTATTACAACAGTTTAGTATATTGGTAGTCTTACTAGTATGCTTATCATAACATATAATTTGTCTATATTTGCAATTTTTTTTTTCAACAAAGAGACACTAAAAATATGGGAACACAATTCAAAGTACATTAAAGTTTGGAGTAGATTGACTCGACCACAAGTTCAAATATTTCATGAACTGTTCTTGCTATTTTTATACGGAAGATAAAGTATCCATTTTCACTGTGATTGAAAGTTCACACCCTCTTCCCATCTCTTTACACTGTTCTTTCTTCCACCTTCTTTCCTACATTCTTTCCTCTTGAAAAGAACAGAATATGTCACTCTTTCTCATCTGTAAGCTAGAAACAGATTCCACCTTCCTCAGAATAAGCCGTGGTTCCTCTTCTTACTTCTCAGTCTTTACTCCTGGCTAACAAACACTGACTGTTTGAAGTCAAGGAGCTGACACGCTCAGCTTAAAAAAAAAAAAAAAAGACATAACTGTTAAACTGTTCCCTTACAGAATACAATTGCAAAATGTCTTGAACATCAAACATCACTAATAGTGTTGGTGCTACTTTATTGCTTTTCTTCTCCCAAGACTACCTCAACAGGTCTTGTTTTAGTTTTCAGTAGGCAACCCCTAAAACATCCCTAAATAAACATAGACTCTTTATTCCTATCAGCTATTTCTATGTTAATTTCCTCTAGCAATTTGTGCCTCTTCCTTTTACTCTGGTACTCCTGTAGCAGGTCCTGCGTTTACTTCAGACGGACTTCTGTTGTCACAAAATGTGCTCCTCAAAATTAATAATATTCCATTGACCTATCTTTTGTTGATGACTTTTAATCCTCAGTTGTGCTCTTCTCAGTCTCATGGTTTTCTATCTCATCAAGAGCATGGCAGCTGCAGTCGACAGAAAGAATAGGCAATGCCAAAGACAAGTTAGTTGTTCTCTTTCTGCCATATCTGACAATCGTTTCTGCTAGCATTTTTACAGAAGGACTGTACTTCATATTCAGTGTAAATTTCACTAGATGTTTCTACTCACATTTTGACCCTGTTTCTTCTGACAACAGTACTGTAGCACCAAGCTCATTCCACCTGAGCAGAGTTATATAAGATTCAGGAGAATTATGGTCTCTAATCTGCATATAAGAAAATATGATGAGTTTTAAAGAGTGTAGTCAGTCTCACAGAACTCAGTTGCAGTACTTTTGTGTGATTTTGAATTTGGCTATGTACAAACATCTACATTACTCCATCAAAATTGTCATTAGCCATATTTGTGATCCTTCTATTTTATTTTATTTTTTGTAAGAGAAAAATATACAACATTTAAAGCAACTGTAGTTTCAATCAAAAATTCAATTCAGAGAATACATCTCAGTGTTGTTAATCTAATTCTCAGTGGGTCACAGGGCTGTATTGTTTCTGAAAAGGAATATAACTGCGTATAAAAAGTAGTTGGCAAAAGCAATCACACTTTTCTAATGCATTCAGTAATAATTAAGAAAAAAAGTCAGTAATTATAAACCAGTTTTGGAGAAAGAACATACACAAGACTATTTGAAAACTGTAATTGAATTTAAGCAAAATATTCTGTCCTTGGTGCATAGTCTATTTCTTTTTGTTAATCACATTTATCTCATGCTGAAACCTGTAATAATATATACACTCATCCTTACAAATTAGAAGATACTTATCTGAAGATATCTTAAGTATTTCTCCTCTATAATAGCCCAAAATGAGAACAGAAGATTTTCTTTCCCAGCTGAACATCATGATTGCTACAAGAAGTCTTTTGGTGACTAAAGAGGAATGGCTAAAAGAGGAAATACAGATTTACAGTGAAAAAATTGTCTGCAGAAGTCCTGGACTCGAGCTCAGGATTCAAGTTCTGTGTGATTTCAGGCAAAGAGAGGTAGGAGATCTCCTGATGGAGCATGGGAGGGAGGGTTATCTTCTCTGTATTCTACCTGGCAAGCTGGGAGTTGTCATACACCTGTTTTCTGACCTGTCTGCTGGACGGACTTACTGTGGCTATTTCTGAACTGACAGAATCTGGAGCGTTTCTAGGGTGGACACAGAGAGTGCTGTAGACAAATTCAGCCCATACAAGCTTTAGCCCCACTTTTCTCCTTCCCCCTCCTCACACCTTGCCTTTCAGAGAAAGGAAATATGGCCACAAAATATAAATGTGCAGCACTGTTATTCTGTGGCCAAATGATCAGGGCGCCAGGCAGCAAAACCAAGACATTTTTGTCCCCAGCCCTCAGTGTAAATAGCAGTCTACTAGGAGGGATAACAATGAGCACAATACATCTGCACTTGTGGGAATATGTTAATAACGAAGTATTAATGATAAATTATTAATTCGTTAGTCCTTTGTTTGTGCAAGATAACAACAGAATAAAAGAAGTGTTTGCAGCCTTTTCCATAATTGAAGGTTTCTTCCTCCACAGTGAACTCACCTTGGTGGAAGAATGAGATCATTGGTCTGTGCATGTCTCTGCATACCTGTGTGTGTGCTCACACATCAAAAAGAAGAGTCACACCACCTATTGCTAACATAGAGCAAAAGCTCAAAGCAGAACGTAGCATAGCACTGAACACTAGTTCAAAAAGCTCAGAACAGCTTGCACAATGGGTTAGGATGGGAAAAAAAATAATCCTAGAAATCTGCTACAGCACCACAGATCTACATAAAGTTTACATAACATTCTTCAACAGTTTAGATACTGTGAAGACATTTTCTCCAATGTCTCCCTGTGATGGAGAGACAAGGGGCTAAATGATTCAGAGCAGGAGGAAATAAGCAAGTTGTTGGGGATAGATGCCAGTGGTGAGAGGAAAGCTAACAGAAAGTAATTCATGCATGTTTTCCAGTTGTCTGCAGCTTCCATGAGAATTTTCATTTTTTAGGCAACTTCATGTACATATGTACGTGTGTAATTATTTCACAAAACTAAATTTACTTCCAGAAGTGTTCATTCTGCTATGTACAGCAGCTCACAAGAAAGAAAAATCTGCCCCTTCTAGGCTACTGCAACTGGGTAATACTAAACTCTTATTAGAGAAGGAGAAAATAAGAGTTTCCTTTTTCCTCAAAAGTCAAGGAAAATCTCAAGGGAACCATCTGGGTCACAGATGCAAACCAGACAGAAGGCACTGAGAAAACAGCATGAAGCAGTGACAGACTGACAAACTCCTAAGATGAGTAAAGAGCAACCTGCAAGAAGGAACAAACCCACAGTTAAACTTCAGAGAACTGTTTCAATTTGCTCCATCAGCTGCTGATGACACAGAAAACAAACCCAGGAAAAGAAAACTGTTATATTTCATCTGTTTAAACTACAAGAACATCTTAAATGACTGTCATGTCCACATTTGTTATTTTATATTGTAGGAAAGCCTTGGTTTAGCAACCAGGAGACTTTGGTGTCTTTTGTATGTTAAAAAGCAAAGCAGAAGAAGAAATTTTAATTCCTGACTGCAGTTGATTCCAGGTCTAGCAAAGAAAACTTTCAGCAGGAATATTAGAGGAGCTGTCAGGAAGCCCATCAGTAAGAGAAAACACCCTAAGTGATCTCCCCAGTATAATTACTGGCCACTATATATCAAGGAACTGGCACACTATTTACCTTCATGCAGTCCCTTCTTTGAGCTCTGATCCAGACAGTAAATGTCCTTGTCTGCTTAGCCTTTTCTTCAGCTGAGTAAATAGCCCAGTTTAAATTGCCTGTTGAGATAGAGCTTCTTGCAGCAGCAGTAAATAATTATTAGCAGTATTTCTGGGGATCAATTAAGATTAGTTGATATTTTTAAAAAAAAGCCAAGTTTGACTAAGAATTCCCAGTCTCGATTCACATTATGGAGAGTCTCATTTTAAACATTTTCATAAACTTTCCACCAAAACAAAATGCAACAGATACAGTGGGCACCAAACAAATATTTATTCTTGTTGTATCTCCATTATTACCAGTGGCCTCACATCAGGGATATATTTGGATGGATTTCTTCAGCCTTTCAGGAAGTGCTTTACAAAGCTCCCAGATCCCATCTGTAGTTACTGTCTAGTACTGACAGAGATATGAAATTCAGTGGTTGCTGGCACAGCATGTTCAGAGTTATCTAAATCATATGAGAGAAATATATTCCTGTAGTTACAGTTCATTAAACTGAAAATGAAACAGGATACTACAGAAAGCAAAAAGGGAGTAGATACACTTCTATAATTTATCTAAAATATTCCACAAACTGGCAAAGGAGGCAACAGCTTCCCACTCTCCTGATCATGTTAAAACGATACTGAACTTCAGAAACATAGCACATAGCAAGGAAGAGTCCACTGATATAAAGAATGTCCACTGTTTAGACCTAGCACCTGGATTAACAAGTGGCAAATGCTGTGGTACTGATAAATAATGTGCATTTATTATCCAGTGAAGGAACAAAGAGGAGGGAGGACATTAAAGTGCATTAGTAAATTGATTAAGCCACAGCTAGATCATGCTTATAGAAAAATACCCCCACATTTCGCTTGGTTTTACAGATGACCTTAGGGAGGGAACTAGTTGCCAAATAATCTGGCTGTGGTGACGCTGTCAAGTTTAGTTCATGAATGTTTGTAAAACATTTGGAACAATGACAATGTAAGCAAACAATTCGACTATTGTTACTAGAAGAGAATGAAATGAGTTCTGATTTTCTTGTAGATGTTTTCATCCCAGACACTATGAACTAATAAAATATATAGACTAGGTTTATGCTGAGGAAATTTTACATTATCAGTATATACTAAGATAGAAACTGATAGAAGTTTGAGAACACTTGAGACAGACTGGTGTGACTTGGATTTCTTCCAAAATTTGGTCTCTGCAGGTAAGGATTGTTTTTCTTTAATATTTTCCTCTTGCTCCTTTTGACTCATGGTTCTTTTTTACTAGTAAAAACTCCATGTTTGTGTGCATTTGCACACTTGATCTTCCTAATTAAAGCTGATACATATTCTACGGCATCACGGACACCTTGTGAGCTCACCAGCCTGCCAGGACTAGAAACACAAAAACAGCAAAATGTAATCACTTTTATGTAGTTTAAAATGTCACAGTATTTTTATATGCTGTGCATGGCTGTTTCACAGAGAAGCCTGTTGGGGAACACAAAGGCAGAAACCAAGTTTGAACCATCAGAGTGTTGTGTTTTGGTTTTTTCTTTGTCCTCTCTTGCAGTATTACCATGAAGGATTTACTCCGTAAGACTAACTGAAATGAGTTGCACCCACCAACCTTGCTAGAAGCATAAAGGCCAGGCAAATAGTGCAGTAGTGTTTAACAAAAACAAGAGCTTAGGGACACAGCTGGTGAGAAAAAAAAAAAAAAAAAAAAAAAAAACAGAAACAAGAAAGCAGGATTTAATCAATGTAGCACTACAGAAACTCAAGGTGCCTTTGCATCTTAAATGCTGCATGCAGTTTTGCTGTCCCACCTTAGAAATGATAAAGCTGAAGTAGAAGAGGGTGATAAAGATGTTCTAAAATCTGAAGTTATTTTCATGCATAGAATGATTAAACGGTTAGTACTGGAAAACTAATTGCAGAGAAACAGAATAGAGAACTGTTAACTTCTGGAGCATGGAGAGAGTGAATAACTTATTCCTTTCTTTTTTTTTTCATAATGCCAAAAACAGATGACATCAAGTGAAATTATCATCGAGGGTACTCAAAAACTCAAAGGGAAATACGTCTACTCAGATCCTATAATTAAGCCATAAAATTCATTACAAAAGGGCAATATTGATACCAAAGTTGACACAGATGCAAAAACACGTTACTCAAATTCATGGGGGAAAATCATTAAAGACAATTAAACACAAAGGTACTGCCTCTGACTAAATATATTCCTGATCCGCACATTGCTAGAAGCTACAGAAGTGTATAAAAGAAAGTGAAGCACTGGAACAGATTGCACAGAGAGGTGGTGGATGCCCCATCCCTGGAGGTGCTCAAGGTCAGGCTGGAGGACTCAGAGCACCCTGTTCTACCTGTGGGTGTCCCTGTTCATTGTAGGGACATTGCAGGGAGGGTTGCTCTAGATGACCTTTAAAGGTGCCTTCCAACTCAATCGATTCTATGATTCTGTAATATTCTACCTTTTTGCTTGTTACTTAGCACACACTGTTGGCCATTATGCAACACAGCAGGCTACCAGCAGCAGATACTTTCCTGTTCTCATGTCATTCCCTAAACTGCACTGAAAATTCCTAGAATAAAAAATTTTCATTGTAAAATTCTGTCCTTGTTAACAGTAAAACAGAGAGAAAGACAGAAATTAATGGAAACTGAGAAAAAGAGGAAATAAGGCAGTCTTATACTGCATAACTGATCACATTTATTTGAAGCGGGGACCAGTCCAGACTGTACTTCTGACCTCTTTCAAACATGACAAATTGCTACAAACCTGCATCCATAAAATGTCTGACTGCTAACAGATAAAAATAATGAGAGAAAGAGAGAGAGGAAAAGAAAGAGAGGAAGGGAGGAAAGAAGAATGAGAAAGAGACAGCAGAAGAAAGAAAGGAAAAAGAAAAAGAAAAAAAAGGAAATGAAGGATGAAAGAAAGGAAGAAAGGATGAGAAAGAAGAAGAAAGAGAGGAAGAAAGGAAAAGAGTGAGAGAAGGAAGGGAGGAAATGAGTAAGAGAGGGAGGAAGGAAGGAAGGAAGGAAGGAAGGAAGGAAGGAAGGAAGGAAGG